AGGGCAGGTAGCTTTCCTTATAGTGGTGGTAATGTCAGTTTTGGCAACTTGTATTACCTTTTTTAGGAATTTGTTCACAATAATTTATTTGCAATAAAATAGTTACTTTCCAACTTGTTTTATAAGGCCAACATAACCTTGATACAAAACTTAACAATGGCAATAAAAGACAGGAATACTATGTAATTCTTTCTCAGAAGTATGGATGCAAACATCCTAAACAAAGTATTAGCATATAAAACCTAGTAATATATAAAATATGTCATAAATTGCAATCTACTTGCAATACAATATTGGTTTAACATTTAAATATCAATCAGTATAATTCACAACATTGAAAAAAGTTAAAAAATAACATGATTATCTCCATCAATGCAAACAAAAGCATTTGATCAAATTCAAACTTCATTTACTATAAAACCTTAGCAAACTAAAAACAAGAGTTATCTTAATCTGATAAAGTGGCAGCAAACATTCCACTTAAAAGTGAAATACTGAAAGCCTTTTTCTGAAATTGGGAACAAGGGAAGAATGCCTGCTATCACCATACCATTCATCAATGTATTGGAGTTCCATAAGGCAAACATAATCAACCAAAACTAAATACAAAATATAGGCAAGGGGCCGGGCATGGTGGCTCACACCTGTAATTCTAGCACGCTGGGAGGCCGAGGCAAGTGGATCCTTTGAGCTCAGGAGTTTGAGACCAGCCTGAGCAAGGGCCAGACCCCGTCTCTACCCCCAAAACAGAAAGAAATTAGCTGGACAACTAAATATATATATATATATATGTAAAAAAATTAGCTGGGCATAGTGGTACATGCCTATAGTCCCAGCTACTTGGGAGGCTGAGGCAGCAGGATCACTTGAGCCCAGGAGTTGGAGGTTGCTGTGAGCTAGGCTGACACCATGACACTCTAGCCCATGTAACAGAGTGAGACTCTGTCTCAAAAAAAAAAAAAAAAAAAAAAAAAATATAATATATATAAATTAGCTGGGCAACTAAAAATATAATTAGCCAGGCATGGTGGCACATGCCTGCAGTCCAGCTACTCGGGAGGCTGAGGCAGGAGGATCGCTTGAGCCCAGGAGTTTGCAGTTGCTGTGAGCTAGGCTGATGCCATGGCACTGTAACCCAGGCAACAGAAGGAGACTCTGTCTCCAAAAAAAAGAAATTTAAAAATCCCCAAGTGGATAAAAAGATCCCATTAAATAATGAATTGTCAAGCTACATCCTGAGGAATAGGTGACTAATTAATAGGTGAACATAACTGATTAATATCCAGTATAATAATATATAAATATTCAGAATATATGAGGAACTCATATATATCCATAAGAATAAAAGAGTAACAACCTAATTGAAAAAAATAAAAGCTAAATTTATAAGCAAGATTCTCAGAAGAGGAAACCCAAATTCCCTCAAAATATGTGAAATGATGATTATTCTCACAAGTAATTAAGGAAATGCAAATGTAAACCACAATAGAATAGAATTGTATTTGTATCAGAATTGTGGCAATATTGGTTACATTCGAGTTGATTCCTCGTGAAAAGACATTTGCCAAAAACATCTACTTGTTTGTGGCTAGGCTGTAGCCGGTTTCAGTTGAGGAAGAGCAAGTCAGGAAAATGGAATTGTCAAATACAGAGGTGAGATTATCCCTGTTTACCACAAAGCTATTTCTTGGGTGTACCTCTTAGGTAACTAATTCAGACTGAGCTATTATTTTTTCCTAAATAACCAAGTCAAGGACATTTGTCATTCTCTGGATGACTCTTATCTTGAAACCATAGAAATGTGACAGTCATGAACACTAGTCAGACAAGTTTCATCTTATTCGTTCTTTACATCTTACCCAGCCTATAAAAAACAACCAACCAACACTGGACATAGCACATAAGTCAAAAGCTATACCAGAAGTTTCTTATTTCTGTCATCACTACCATCATCATCATCATCACCACCACCACCATTATCCTGACACGGCAATCAGAACATTATGTACAGGTAAATCAGATTTTATTTTGGAAATTGTCCGCAAAACTTCACAAGTTGCCATAGAGTATCTTCTGGTTTCTTGTTAATTGATTCCTTTCTATAATTCAGTTTTTATTTCTTGACATTGTCAAGAAACATGGTATTGTCTGAGGTCTAAAGGCCTTTTGAAGAGTCTGGGAAAGTCTCAGAGTTAAAAATAAGAATCAGAATTCAGCAAAATTTTGCTTGCTGGGAAAGAATGTAAGTATATAATTGACCTAAAATGTTAAGGAAACGAGGCATAGCATTTTTCTAACCTCCTATAAGAACTCTGCCATTTTTGTTCTCTAGTAATGTAATTGAAATCAAATTTTCTTGTGTTAAAAGGTTTTCTTAGAAATGATTCAAAAAATCTGAATGCCATTATAGATTTTTGGAATAAGGTACCTTATAATATAGATCCTGAGTTAGCAGCTGACAAACTCCTTACATCTTCAAATGGGTTCCCTTCCATAGACTCTTCTTTTCAAAGCTCCGGAAGGCAGTAGAGATGGCGGCCATTCAACCCATTTGACCATTATATTTTCCTGTTCCTCAGGCACATTTTTCTAGAGAAAAGTGTGATTTAAAACTCTATGGAAATAAGGTTTATTTTTATAAAATTCAGAGAATTTTTTTTTAATGGGAAGTAGCCTTGGAAAAATTCAGAGAATTTTGTACTAAATTTGATCTAACACTTTTCATTACATAACAGAATTCAGGTGCATCTAATTCAAAAGGTTTGTGAATGAAGTTCTAATAAATGAAAGCTACAGTTTTTGCATGCTTTGCAGTTTTACTGTTTGAGCAATACCAGAATGTCATTATAAGGGACTCTAATCTAAGAAATAATACCTAGCATGGACTGTGAGAAGAGAATTATAGTGAGAATGATATTTTAAAATTGTGAATAATGTAATTAGCACGATTTTTATTAACATTTTATTAACATTATTATTGTAAGTTGATTAAGACAAAGGGTTGATTATGTCAGAATAGCAAAGGGGTCTTGAAGTATGATCAGTCTAAAAGTGAAGCAATTACAATTTAGATAATTATATGGCATTGGTTGAATTAATTGAAGATTAATTTTTAACTTATATTCTCTTTGATAAATGAGAGATTAATCCTGGAATGCACATTTCTCCATTTGAAAAATACTGTGGACAAAAATTAATTTGATACATGAAAGTAAGTTGTTTCATGAATGGATCTTCTTAAAAATATTTAGAAAATTATTTTAACAAGTTCAAATATTATTCAGAAATAATCAATTCCAATAATTCCTAGAGCATATATATCACATTTACTAGAGTTGAATTAATCATAAATTACGATAATCTTTTAAACATAAAAGAATCTCTGCAGTTGTTTTTGACATAAGGAAAGCCATGTGAGGGGAGAAAAGTCTTCTCAGAGCTATAGTATACAATATGTATGTTATAGAAACTTCCAGAGCATCCTAAGGGAATTGTGAGAGAAAAGCCTCTTATAAGCTGTAAAGTAGTGACTATTTGTATAGAAATTATCTCACCACTTAGAATCATTATTTAGGCACATAATGTTTGAGTCCTTTGGACTAATATGTGTATCTCAAAAATACTAAGCTATCAGACTAAGTTATAACTGGCTAATTTAAAACAAATTTGAGACCTTAGTCTCACAGTGTACTTTTTATAGTCATTAGAAGAAACATGTTATCAAACATTAATAGGTTTATTAATATTATGTAAAAACCATTATGCCTGCATAGCCTTTTTTTCCCTCTGAGGCTGAGATTAAACAACAGCATTCAAGTATGGAATGTGTCTGAAATAAGGAGTTTCTCTTAAGAGCTTTGATAAATTATGTTGGTTCTGGGAAATGCCAATTAGCAAGTCATCAAAAGAGACAAAGAGGTAGGATTAAGAAGGAAGAACAGAGAGAAGAGGAAATAAAACCGGGTGGAGTTGCACAGCTGTGGTATAAGGTCATGTTTGGGGAAAAAAAAAAAAAGAACTTATATAGACAAAAGTCAGTTGGTCCTGGAAGGGATGAGAATAAAAAGATTTTCATATTTATAGGAAATATCTAATTCACCAAACATATCCCCTGATTATAAACTCTTCTGTTTTGCAAGGTTTACTTGGGGGGATGCAGAATATAGAGATCGGGGAAACAGAGGAGGCTATTGTGAAATTTGAAATCAGAAACTTTAATGTTAGAGCCCTTCGTCCAATGGGCAATTACACGGTAGAATATCTTTTAAGACACACAAAAATAACTAGTGACCAAGCCTTATACAGATTAGGTTTAGTGTGGCCATAAAACCTGACTGTAACCCTACACTGTTCTATGTGTAGGATGCCAAGCCACCATGTTTTCTGATTTTTTTTTTTATATAATTGGTGGGTTTTGATGATAACACTACTAATGTAGCTATTAATTTATACTGCACAAATAAACCACATTTGTTGCAGAAAAATTAGAAAATATGGTTAAGGGAAAAGCAAACAAAAAAGAAAAAAATTATGCATAATCTCATTAACACAGGGTATTACAGCAGTTGACAATATTGTGTTTCCTTCCACATTTATTAGACCTATAATTAAAATCTGTTATATATTTAATTGTGTCTATAAATTTTTATGTGTTCATGTTTATGATACTGCTATAGTTAACAAAAATACAATCAGATTAATCCTAATGTTTTGGAACCTGCTCTAGATTAAAAAAGAAAGCAAGTCAATTTCTCCTCAGCAACATGACAGAAGCCATGTCTATTTTGCTAACTGCTGTGTCCAGCAGCTAACATGGTGCTCAGATATGATTTAAGTGAATGAGGATTAGAGTCTCTTGGGGCGTTTGCAGTTTCTATGTTTTAAGCTAACAAAAGGAACTAATGCACAGATCATAAATCATGTAACATGAGTTAAAGGAGAGGCAGGTAGATTTAGAATGTCTGTCATCTAATTTGAGCCATTTTTCCCCTCTTTTATAGGTACGGCACATCTTCCAGAAGACAGTCTTGGCCACCGTGGAAGACAGTCCTTATTTTTCTTGGAGTGGTGGCAATCTTGGGAGTAACCATTGGTCTCCTTGTTCATTTTCTGGCAGTTGGTCAGTATTGGCTATTTTCAATTTTCACCCTTACCACTAAATCACCTTGTAGTTTTAAACACGGATAAGAAATAACATGAATAATTAAGTTTCTTCTTGAAAGTTTTCTCATTTATTTATTATTTTAATTTAACACAATAATTTTCTATTTTTGACACAGAAGTTTATAATTTTTTTGAATCAGATGCCTCCTTATAAATGAGATCACCAGGTATGGTGGTATGGGTGAGACTCAAATGATCAATATTCACTGTCATTAAAGACCTTACTGGATGGGCCTTCCGTGTTGTGTGGTTACAGGCCTGTAGTAACATATCTCTTTTTTCTTTTCAAACGGTGAGACCTACACTCTTCTTGGCTCAACTCTGCTGTTGGTTATTAAGATACTAAGCATTTACAGTGAGCTATTCGATTTAAACATCTTATGATACCGAAACGCAAGTCACTTGGGTTGTCTGAGCTCAGTGCCCTGCTAGTGTGAGAGATTAAAGGATACCGGCAGTAGCAACCAATGATAACCATGCCTTCACACTAAACCTCAAACTAGGATTTTTTTGTATGTGTATTCTTAATGTGGTATATCTTGAGCAGCGTAGTTCTCACCTTTGTATTTTTTTAATAACCTATGTGCAGAGTGATGCACGATGGCAATTAGCCATCAGATTTCTCAACAGCAAGGCTCTCTTAATAAACTTCTGAGATGAGTGAATCCTTAATTGCAATACAATAATAGGCCAGTCGACCGCGGAGGTGTTCATTAGGATAGTCTAGGATGGGACGCAACCTCAAAAATCAGCCTGAACGAACCAGAGCAAGGCTTAACACCTATTCTCTTTCTATCTTAATAATATCAAAATATCGAAAGAATTAATTGCCAACCTAATAGTATATTGGCCATTATTCTTTCTAATATAAGTAATAGCTCAGAGAATAGTGGCGAGAACATGTGGTCTAGCTCCAGCTACTCGGGACGGGCTGGTTTGTGGAAACTCTGAACTTGAGAGGCATCTAGGCCAGCGATCTACTGAGCCGCAGCGAGTTCTTCGAGCGCTTGCTGCCCAAGCAGCGTAATTAAGGTCGAGCGCCAGAGCCTGGACAACCACCCACCACGACTCTGTTTAATAGAATGGCTTCAACGATCGAATGGCTAATCACTCGGCGACAGACCCTTGAGTTTTAGATTTTTAAAACCTTTTTACAGTAATCCGAAAGCTTCGGTTTTTCCAGTCTATTTACTTTATTTTATTAGTTTTTTTCTATCTCTTTTTGACCAAGAGTTTCGCTTTGCTTGTGCTCCAGGCTAGTAGTAGTGCCGTGGCAATCAGCCTAGCTCCACAGCAACTCAAACTCCTGGGCTCAGTAATGCTCCTGCCCCTGCTCCCGAGTAGCTGGGACTACAGGCCCATGTCCACATGCCTGGTATTTCTTTCTATATATATTCGTGGCCCAATTAATATTTCTATTATTAATGAGATGGCGGTCTTGTCTTTTCCAGGCTGTTTGACTCTACACCTTGACAACATCAGCCGCTCGAGCTCCAATTTACTTTTTACTCTCAGCAAAAAGAAGCCTTTAAATTGCTGCAACCTTGTTTCAATACTTATTAAGAAAATTGCACAGCATGAGCTCCTTGATCTCAAGTAATTTTGAGGCTAGGGAGGCAGGCTTCTACTGCTCTCCCTCTATGTTCAACATCAGCACTGGAGCTCAACGCAGAGGAAACCCGAGTGAGCCTTGCTGGTATACTCCAGATTTTAAATGGAATACTCTTAACATGCTCAATATAAATCATTAGATGTTTAAGTAGGGTTATTCCTACTATTAGTCGATGATTTTTGAGTTTGTTTTCCTGCCTGAACGATATATTCAGCGCTATCAAATAAATGCGAGTGAGATACGGTCTTTGGCAAACTGATCCGTGGACAATTCCACATTTCTTTCAACAATGCGCTTCTCTCTTGTTCTTTTCCCTCAACACACTCTTCGGGAACTCCTTCAGAAGGGTGGTTGTTGCTTACAGTCTCGTTGCTATGCACATCTATCCCATGAGAACTCTCATTGTATGCAATCCTTCTGTTCTCCCATTCATCGACTTCTACTTTCAATTCAGAAAATCACAACTCTTACATAAGTCGTCCTTGATAGGACCATTCGCTCCTGACGTCATCAAAATCGAAAGCCTGCGTGAGCTAAATCTACCCCAATAAATGTTCAGGGCGCCCGTCTTAATTAGCTTACATGTTCCTTACCATACAACAAATACGCAAACAAATTAACTTGACAACTAAAAACTATAGTACTGGCTATCCGTATAAAAAATTACGCCCGGGCATGGGGGTGCGCACATGCCGTTGCAGGCGTAGCTCCCCCAGCCTACCTTGGGAGGCTGAGGCAGGAGGATTCCGCTGCAGCCCCAGGAGGTTGAGGTTCTGTGAGCGAGGCTACGCCATGGGCACTCACTCTAGGCCTGCAACAAAGCTGAGACTCTGTCTCAAAAAAAAAAAATAGTTACCCTTCCACAAAATGAGGTTTGCATTGCACGGTCCTTTTGCTCGGGGAACAAGCCTTCAATGGCTCAAGGGCAACCCGTTTTCCTTCCAGCTGAGCTTCCAAATCAGACTGAGGATGCGGAAAACCGCGGATCCTGTTAACAGTCTTACCTGAACAGGATCCCACTTTTCTCCGTCTCAAAAAAGCAATGCCACTCTCACCCGGATAACAGCCAGAGGGAAGGACTGAAACAGGACCCGCACTCTTTCAGACTTCTCACAAAGCACTCCAAAAAATTATTCGTGAAAGATGGTGAAGGCTCCCCATTCTTGATAGTAATGGTGACGCCGGGGAGATATTTCTTTTTCTTGTTTTTTTGAAACAGAGTCTCACTCTGTTGCCCAGAGCTACCGCAGTGCCTGACGTGCTCGGGCACACTACTCCAGCAAGCCTCAACTCTGGCTTCAAACAATCCTGCTGCCCTCAGCCTCCGAGTACTGGGACTACAGGCATGTGCACCATGCTCTACAGTTTTGTTCTTTAATATTTATGATGCAATTTTTCTTTTATTTATAGTAAGAGCTGGGTCCTCGGCTCTTGCTCAGCGCTGGTTTCGAACTCCTGACCCTTGACAAATAACCATTTATAAGAATGGTTATTTTAAGGCTCATAGGAACGACTTCTTTGAAATAATCCCCTTAATAAGGGCCATCGACCTATAGATCTTGCGACGATTCCATTAGGCTGTGAGCTCATGAAATACTCCTCTAAAAAACCTGTGAAATGCCATGGTGTCTTTGAAGATGGTGAAACAATGGTGAAATAACGCTTAAATATAAGATTTTTTCAACATGCTGCTAGCTACTCTCGAGAGGAAGGAAGGAAAAGGCATGATGCAGAGGGAAACCACTGCACCCTGGCTTGAGCAGGCATTGTGCAGGACCAGAACTCACCCTTGAGTGTCTTCACATGGTCAACCAGCTAACATTTCAGATTTAGGGCTACAGCTCATATTACTTGAAGTTAAATCAGTTTACCTGGGCTGTTCGTGGAGAAAAAAATAGACATTCAAATTCTGTTGTAAAGATTGTTTGAAGTTTGCAAGATGGGTTTGCTCTAGGATTCTGGCTTAGAAACCAGCACAATCTTTGTTAACACTGAGAACCACTTGAGTTGAATGATGGCTATTGCAATCCCTCGTTTAAGTGGTATGAAATTAGTTTCCCTGAAAACTCTTGTTCCTCAAGCCATTTTTTCATTCTTGAGTTTCCACTTCTTGGATTAACTCAAGAGATCAATATTTCATAAGAATCATTATTCTAGAAATTACTTTGGTTCAGCTCTTTCTTAACTGTTTTGCATAACTCTGTTTCTAAAAGTTTATATACACATGTGTAAGCAATTCCAAAATCCTTCAGATGGTCTGTGTAATAGTTCTAAGTCCTGGCATCCTCTTACCATCCCCTGCAAAGCTCTTTTAAAGACGTGTTCATTCTGGGCCCTACCCTTAGGTTACCTGATTCAATAGGACTGGGGCCCATGTGTGCCTCTTGGAAGCTTTGTGTTGATTGTGCTGTACAGATAGGGTCAGTGTTTTGGAGAAGTAATAAAATATATGTCTATCATAAGATAAAAGACTTGATCATAAACTTTGGGATCAAGGACAGGTTACCAGGGAAGTCTGTTGCTATGTCTGTAAAACTGACGCTAGTCACATTATGGGGTAGAGAATATAGATTTCCATTCAATTTATGGAAATAATGATAGTAGCTCAAGCTGTCATAACAAAATGCCACAGACTGGCTGGCTTAACCAACAGACATTTACTTTTTTACAGTTCTGGAGACTAGAAATCTAAGACCAAAGATCCAGTAGGGGCCAGACGTGGTGGCTCATGCCTATAATTCTAGCACTCTGGAAGGCCAAGGTGGACGGATTGCTTGAGGTCAGGAGTTCAAAACCAGCATGAGTGAGACCCCATCTCTACTAAAAATAGAAAGAAATTAATTGACCAGCTAAAAATATATATAGAAAAAATTAGCCAGGGCCAATCAAGGTGGCACATGCTGTAGGCTCCAGGCTACCTCGGGAGGCTGAGGCAGAAGGAGGTGGCGAGCCAGGAGATGGAGGTTGCTGTGGCTAGGCTGACGGCCACCAGCCTCATCTGTAGCCTGGTAGCAAAGCGAGACTCTGTCTCAAAAAAACAAACAACAAAAAAAATCATAAACGTGGACAGAAGAGGGTCTTGGATTTATCTATTGTGATTTAGCGTCCTTTGTGTTAATAAAGAAAAATCCTGAGGGCTAAAGTGTAATATGTCAAGATGGGACAGCCAATTTGTTATGCAGGGCTGAAACTAGCTCCTGCAACTTCATGTGCAGGCATCCTTTTCCGAGGACCTCAGGTACTCTTAGCGAACTGCATTTGACTTTACATATGCACTGGTATACAATGAGGAAAAAATATAGGAAAATCTATAGAATGTAGGGAAGACAGTTTTCCATTGTTAAGACTAAAATTAATTTCTGTTTCACAGGGCAATGAATTATTTTCAGCGCAGGAGATGTACTTTTCAGGTTCTTAGAGACTATGTGGTGTATTTTTAAGGTGGATCAAAAACAATAATTGCTCTCAAAATATAGAAATGGCTTATTACTTAACCAAAACAGGGTAACTATTTTATATTAATTCCTATTTTTTTTTTGTTTTGTTTTTGAGACAGAGTCTCAGCTCTGTTGACCAGGCTAGAGTGAGTGCGCGTGGCGTCAGCCTCCCGCTCCACAGCAGCTTCAAAACTCCTGGGCTCAAGCGATCCCTCCTGCCTCGCCTCCCGAGTAGCTGGGACTACAGGCATTGCGCCACCATGCCCCGGCTAATTTTTTCTATATATATTATTTGGCCAATTATTTCTTTCTATTTTTATAGAGTAGAAGACGGGGACTCGCTCCTTGCTCAGGCTGGTTTCGGCACTCCCTGACCTTGAGCGATCCGCCCGCCGTCGGCCTCCCAGAGTGCTGGGATGACAGGGCGTGAGCCAGCGCAAACCCCGCCGCCCAGTTCCTATTTTTAAAAGTAAAGTTATAACCTGGAAGAATGACCTGTAGGCTTATCTTGTTTCAAATGATGGTGGCCTAGGGTATCAGACCAAGCAGTTTATGTTTGGGGAAAGGAAAAGGTGGGACAATATGTCCTTGTGACGCACAGCAAACACCACCACCAATGCCACAGGGAGGTGGGAGGGAAGCACAGAGTGTCCAGGAATGAGATCAAGGAATGGAAAGCAGGCCAAGAGGCGACGGGCCTACGAAAGGTGCAAGCGAGTGTAAGTAAATTCATCCAGAAAGTGAAGGGTGATGCTTGTAATGTTTCCTATGTCAGAACTGCTTAGAAAGATTAATCGGGTAATCACTAGGCTAAGAGTTTAGATTATACATGAGAAATAGGTTTCATCCTAACTAAGTGCACACTCAGGTGGATTGTTAGTGGCTGCTGACCTTGCTGTTTTGAGGCAGATGCCGAGGGTATATGTGGATTTGGCAGGACAGGGATATCTATTATCACATGAAGGAAAGACGAGAGGTCATTCAGTGGAAGCTGGGTAGTTGCCATTTGTAAAATGAACGGATTTCCATTCTTTTCCCCTTCCCTTCTTCCCCTCTTCAGTTATTTCTGACACTGGCTTGAATATTAATTTTGAAGCAGAGATATAAATCAACTTGAAACTACTTCTTGTTTTAAAATTCTTTTGAGTATTTCTTTATTTTACAGGAAGGGTTTACTATTATCAAGGTGATTTTCGTATTTCTGGAGTCATTTACAATGAAAGTTGTGAAAATGCAGCTTCACAAAACAGCACAGATCTAAGCAAAGATATTGAGACTAAGGTAAATCAAAGATTTATTAATTTTATTATAAATTTGATTGAAACATACATATAATGGTGGCTCTTTTTTTTTTCTCTTGACAGATGTTGTATACATTTCATAATTCTAGTATATATAAAGAGTATGTCAACTCTGAGGTCATCAAACTTTTGTAAGTATAAATTCATTCAAGATCTTTGGAAAGAGGATAGGTAATGTATCACACAGCCCTGGTTTTAGATAACAACAATATAAAACAAACATGAAGACAGAGATGAAAGACAGACAGACCAGAAGAAAGAAAGAAATAGGGGGGAGGGGACACGGGCAATATACGTAACCTTAACATTTGTACCCCCATAATATGCTGAAACAAAAAAAAAATAGAAAAAAAATAAATAAAAAGAAAAAGAAAGAAAGAAAAGAAGAAAGAAAAAAAGAAGAAAAAAAAGAAAGAAAAGAAAGAAGAAGGAAAGAAAGAAAAAAGAAAGAAAAGAAGAAGAAAGAAAAAGAAGAAGAGAAGAAGAAACGAACGAAAGAAGAACGAACGAACGAACGAGCTCTCCATAAAATAAAGTATCACTGTATTTAGCAAATTGCTGTTCAGGGCGAGAACTATTATATACAAGCCTGTAATCTCCTCTGTACTTGCAGGAGAATTATAGGTTGGTGGTGGTCAGTCCTAATTGACTCCTATGGTGGAAGAGAATTGTAACTCTATGGAAAGAAACCAACCTGATTGTTTTTCTACCCATATGCGAGGCACCTCTTCTCCCACCCATATGCATCTGGCCATGCCTTCCCTAAAACAACTCTCTTTTGGTTTCTTTAGTAATTAGAATTCCTGCAAGAGCTGTGAAGCAAAGTCAATATTTTAACATTTGATTTGTCCAAATATGCCTTTGAAGGGTGCCTGAGTAGTGGTAGTAGGAATGGGTACATGGAGGAAGGTGTGGTCTATGGGGGAAGAGGGATAAAGGTAGAGTATGCTTGTAGTTGGGTTACTGTAGTTGGGTTACTCCAGTCTATTCTGGAGAATTCTGAACTCCCAAAACAAAATAAGCAAAAAATCCAGCTGACCAAGCAACCAACCTACCTACACACTTACAAACAAAAACCTTCAAGACCCTTCAACAGATCATAATTATTTGAGTATAGAATTGTGGATTCATTTTTTTTTTAATTGTGATTAATATGGCTTTTGGGTTGAAAGCCTCACAAAATGAATTAATCTCCTTTTCTGATGAGTAAAAAGAATGTACTGAATATATAATAAAGGTGCTGTTCATGCCGTAGAGTGCTCTCTCTGAGCTTTCTGATCGTGTATATCTACTGGGGCAGATGATTATGTGTGAGGAACAACAGGAAGAAGCTGAGGGCTGGCTCCCAGTATATTATTAAAAAAAATCCTGCATGAAAGCACTGTGTTTTTTTTTTTTTACTATATTATAATAAAATCTTAAGCCACTCATTTGTTGGCTGGTACTCAGTTTCTCATATGTGTTTAAAATATTCTGATTTTTATACTAGTTTGTGGTCCATATCTTTTTCCATAAACGGCAACTCTGAACTAGTTTAGAAGACTTTTGGGGACCCTTGCGCATTGAAAACACTGGGACAGTATCTGCATATTTTTTCATGAATATCTGTAAAGGAAATATGATAATTAAAATGTGGGCAATTCAATATGTTCACAAAATAGCTAAAAAAGATCAAGAAGCAGCACAATAAAACATCTCTGTTGTTTCTAGGCCTTCTGCCAACGGTTCGAGTGTACAGTTACAGCTGACATTCAAGTTTCCTCCCGCAAAGAGAGATCTCATGAGGACTAAAATCAAGGCTATCTTACGGAAGATGCTAGAAGACAACATGACATTCTGGAATGCAGTTCCCGATTCCATTAAACTTACAGGTATGTCACTTATTCCCATTATTTTCTATTTCTTAGGTTTCTGGTTACTATTCAAAAAAAGTACTAAAGAAATGAACAAGAACATAAATGCTAACTTTCCCAGTCCAATTACGCCCAACATTTAACTATTCAGACCTTAGACCAGTTCCTATATTGACTATTGGCTCCTTGAACTTCTATGTGTTCCATTTATATATCCTGAAACTAAGAGTTTTAGGAATTTGGGAAAAAATATGCTTACCAAACTCCGTCACTCCTAGCAGTGACTTGGTAATGGAAGGGGCTCTCATGGAATCATTTCCCAAAGAGTGATAGGAATGAGGGTTCAAGTGCAGAAATGCGTGTGAGTTTGGAAGGTCTGGCCCTTGCGCTTGGGAAAGCAGGTGAGGAGTCCTAATGAAACAGCTTTCCTCCTTAGCCCCTACTTTTGTCAGGATCTCATGACAGGGAGCACATTTAGGGTCTTCATGGTCATTAGTAAGGCGATTGCAGGAGAAAGATCCAAGTTGGGGGTGGGAGTTCTCATTGATTCTTGTGGGAGAATTGGAGTTGTACCACTCTTAAAGAAAAAGGTTGGGCCGGGCGCGGTGGCTCACGCCTGTAATCCTAGCACTCTGGGAGGCCGAGGCGGGCGGATTGCTCGAGGTCAGGAGTTCGAAACCAGCCTGAGCAAGAGCGAGACCCTGTCTCTACTATAAAAATAGAAAGAAATCAATTGGCCAACTAATATATATAGAAAAAATTAGCCTGGCATGGTGGTGCATGCCTGTAGTCCCAGCTACTTGGTAGGCTGAGGCAGCAGGATTGCTTGAGCCCAGGAGATTGAGGTTGCTGTGAGCTAGGCTGACGCCACAGCACTCATTCTAGCCTGGGCAACAAAGCAAGACTCTGTCTCAAAAAGAAAAGAAAAAGAAAAGGGTTGCCTGGAATCATTCCCTAGAAAATAAAGGAAGGAAATGATAGGATTTTGCCCTCATAGAGAAAATGAAATGTGTAAAGATCATGAAGGTCTTGCAAAGGTCTTGAAACTCTCACTTGGATTGGTAAAAGTCCTGCTAGGTGGTAAGTGTGTGGTTCCAGACCCAGTTTGTTTTTTTTTTTTTTTTTTTTGAGATAGAGTCTCACTCTGTTGCCCAGGCTAGAGTGCCGTGGCATCAGCCTAGCTCACAGCAACCTCAAACTCCTGGGCTCAAGCCATCCTCCTGCCTCAGCCTCCTGAGTAGGTGGGACTACAGGCACATGCCATCATGCCCGGCTAATTTTTTCTATATATTTTTAGTTGGCCAATTAATTTCTTTCTATTTTTAGTAGAGACGGGGGTCTCGCTCTTGCTCAGGCTGATCTTGAACTCCCGAGCTTGAGCGATCCTCCCGCCTCGGCCTCCCAGAGTGCTAGGATTACAGGCATGAGCCACTGTACCCAGCCCAGAGCCCAGTTTTGTGGTTCTTCCAGGATGAAGAACAGTTTGTCCTAGTGTCTCTGAAAGGCTGCCAGCTGCCGGTGACAGCTTCTTCTCCTCAGAATACAGACTGTGCCACCAATGGGCCACGCACAGGAAGTGCGTTTGAGGTGGACCTTCTCAAGGAGGCGATAAGATTGCTCTGTTGGCTGCGCTGGTCACTGTCCCTCTGTGTCCCAGAGAGTACAGTGAGCACGTTCCAGTGTTTCTGCCTTGGTTCCCTCCTCTTCTCTTTCTCTCTAAAGTCTCTTTCCAGTAGAAACAAGGTTTAAATTTAAGTCCTTAAAATTTCATAATTCAGTCTTAGTAAGGAGATTACTCTAAAGGGAAGGATGGGCTCAATGAGATATAGTTTTATTTGGGATTTTAAAAAATATAGATAACTTTGGTATTTCGGAGTACAGATAATTACCATGGGGCAAGACATCCAAATATTTGTAAGAGTGTTGGCTTCTTATTTTACTGAATATTTTATTACAATTGTCATAAAATGGAAATCTTTGTTATTTATTTATACTACCTAGTAGAGATGTGGAGAAATGTTCAAAATATGACATATAGAAGTTCAAGGGGCTGATAATCAATATATGAACTGGTCTGAATAGTTAAATGTTGGGTGTAATTAGACTAGGAAAGTTAGCATTTATGTTCTTGTTAGGTTGAACACAACTCATTGGTGATCTTTTATCTATTTTATTTTATTTTTACTTTCAGAAATCAGCAAGGCTAATTATGAAATGCTTACCAACAACTGTAAGTTAAGAACATTTATTACAAATTTGATACATTCACAAGTATTTCATCATTTTTCTAAAAAGGATCTTTGAAGTACACCATATGAAAATCCACACTACCCTTTCAAAATTACTGGATATATTGGATATCTACTTGGAATTTCTTCTTGAAAAACAGCACAGGTCTATGAATTTTAACATTTGTAAGGAATTATGCAAAAAGGTGAAATGAGAATTGATTTCAAATAATGAGATATGAGGGAAGAATATCATATCTAAATAAGTTAAAATAAGAAAGACTACAGGAAAAAAGGACACCATAAAAAAGAACAAACTATAAAACTAGGCTATATCAAATATATTGATTATAAGATAAAATATTTCTTCATCTTTTTTTTAATTCATATTTTTATTTTTTAGAGACGTGGTCTGTCTGTGTTGCCCAGGTTAGAGTGCAGTGGTTATTCACAGGCGCAATCATAGCACGTTACAGACCAGAACTCTGAGCCTCAAGCTATCCTCTGTCCTCAGCCTCCCAAGTAGCTGGGACTACAGGAACACACCACTGCATCTGGCTACAACATTAAATAAATTCTCTTTAGAGTATCATGTCGGCCACAATATACATCCATGCACTCATGCACTCAAAGGATATTTATGGAATATCTGTTATCCACATGGTGCCTTACGGCCAGCACTACATATACTGTGCAAGATGCAAATATTAATAAGGCAAAGTCTTTACCTTCAAGAATTTTGCAATTTAGCAGAGGAGACAAGAATTACAACAAATAGATGCAATAAAAGGCAGTGGGTTGAAAGATGCTTGAGACTGGAAAACAGGATAAGAGTCACTCAAACCAAGACGGAGTGGGGGGACCATTGTGAGAATACATTCCAAGAAAGAAATAGCATTGGCTGGGCGTGGTGGCTCACGCCTGTAACCCTAGCACTCTGGGAGGCCAAGGCAGGAGGATCACTCAAGGTCAGGAGTTCGAAACCAGCCTGAGCAAGAGCAAGACCCCATCTCTACTAAAAACAGAAAACAATTAATTGGCCAACTAAAAATATATAGAAAAAAATAAGCCAGGCATGGTGGCACATGCCTATGTGAGCATCCAGCTGAGCAGGAGGATTGCCGTGAGCCCAGGAGTTTGAGGTTCGTGAGTGCTGATGGCACGGCACTGATACCCAGGCAACAATGAAGAAAGAAAAGAAAGAAAGAAGGAAGAAGAAGAAGGAAGGAAGGAAGGAAGGAAGGAAGGAAGGAAGGAAGAAGGAAGGAAGAAGAAGGAAGGAGAGCGAAGAAAGAGAGAGGGAGGAAAAGGAAGAAAGAAAGAAAGAAAGAAGAAGAAAGAAAGAGGAAAGGGAGAGGAGGAAAGAAGCAGAAAAAGAAAAGAAAGAAAAAAAGAAGAAAAGAAAAGAAAGAAAGAGAAAGAAAGAGAAAAGGACAGAGAAGGAGGAGGATAGAGAGAAAGAGAGAGAGAGAAAAAGAAAGAAGAGAAGAAAGAAGGGGGAAGAGAGAAGAAAGAAGAAAAAAGAAAGAAAGAAAGGAAAAAGAAAGAAGAAAGAAAAAAAAGAAAGCAGAGAAGGAAAGAGATGAGGAGGGAGGAGGAAAGAGAGAGAAAGAAGAAGAAAAAAAGGAAGGGAAGGAAGAGGAGGAAGAAGGAAGAAGGAGAGGACAGAAGGAAGGAAGGAAAGAAGGAGGAAAAAAGAAGAAAAAGAAAGAAAGAGAAAGAAGAAAGAAAGAGAAAAAAAGAAAGAAAGAAAAAGAAAGAGAGAGAAGGAAGAGGAAAGAACGATAAGCATGTGGAGTAGTGACTGAAGACACCTGAGAAGTTAATAATATTTAAGATATGTTTCTTACAAAGCATAATCAAAGATACCTGCTCTCGTGTAAATAAACCCTTTCCCTTAGGGTTGTGGGAGACGACTGGCGAAAACTCATAGCTGGCAACAAGATGGTAAGGGCAGAAGGCGCGGACTGGGGGCTGCCGGCAGGCAGCTGCGTGGAGAGGCAAGCCAACTGCGGTCTCGATCGCGGCAGGGTGGCGCTGTCCGCAGCTCACGCTTTGCTGGTAAGTTCAAATATAGTGTGACTAAAGAAGGATCCGGTGCAGCTATGTTGGGGGCCAGTACGGGGTAACCTACAAGGTGTTGAAAGTCATCAAGCCCATATGACATTAAATCAACAGAAAATTTACAATAACCTGCATAATTGAAGGGCAACGAAAGCATTTAAATGGGGAAAGGAACAAAATGAATGGAAGCGTCAATGTGACATTTTCCAAAGACTACCTTGGGCCTGACCTGTAAGTGCCTTCTACGTATATGCATTTTATATTCATGCACAACTCGTTAAGATAAATATTTAAGATGAGGAAACTAAGGCATAGAAGGTGATATACTACCACAGCTCTAAATAAGTGAATCCAGTATGTCTGACCCATGTTTAATGTTGTCTATAACCATCCAAGGAGGTCACAATTGCTGAAAAAATTTAACTTTGGCCGGCATGTGCCACTCACGCCTTGTAATGCCAGCACCGGGAGCCGAGGCGGGGTAGATGCTCAAGTCAGAGCAATACAGCCTGAGCAAGAGAGAGGACCCTGTCCTACTATTAAATAAGAAATTAATGACGAACTAAAAAAAATATATATATAGAAAAATTAGCCAGCATGTTGGAGCATGCCATAGTCCCAGCTACTCGGAGGCCTGAGCAAGGAGATCTCCTTGAACAACAGCGAGTTCGAAGGTTGCTGGAGCTAAGCTGACGCACGGCACTACCGGCAAACAGAAGACCCAAAATATAAAAGAAGTAGACAGACATAGTAAGCACTGGACACATGACGCCGTAAGTCTGTTTGCACAATTAAATTTAATCTGAAAAGAAAAGCAGTAATGGGAAAGATAAATTTTAGTTGTGAAAACAGTCTTCTTCAAATGTGTGGAAAAGGAGCAACTCTGCCCGGGGGGCTTGTTAGAAGTGCAGATCTTAAGTATCACACTAGGGCTTTAAATATAAATCTTGGAGGCAGAACCTGAATTGATTCTAAGGAGAATAGCTAAGAAGGTTGCTGTTGATCTTGTGGAATCATGGAAGATTTTATTTTTTATTTTTTTGAGACAGAGTCTCGCTTTGTTGTCCCAGCTAGAGTGAGTGCCGTGGCATCACCGTAGCCTCACAGCAACCTCAATCTCCTGGGCTCAAGCGATCCTCTGCCTCAGCCTCGCCGGTAGCTGGGACTACAGGCATGCGCCACCTGCCGGATAATTTTTTCTATATACTTTTTTAGTTCACTAATTTCTTTCTATTTTTAGTAGAGATGGGGTCTTGCTCTTGCTCAGGCTGGTTCCGAACTCCTGACCTCGAGTAATCCGCCTGCCTCGGCCTCCCAGAGTGCATAAACAATATTTTTGAAAATAGAATTTAAGTGGTTTATAGTGTCGGCTGGGAACCTCATGACTTGTAATTATGAGATAAAGACCACCAATAACACTGTGACCCAGAAACAATGTATTGTCATTACGTTGTATCCTCTAGGAAAAATAATTCAGCAGATTGGACCGTCAGCTTTGGAACTACATTAAATAAACCCTATATGACGAGGAAAGTCCAAAACATTATTTTTCATGAAAATTATAGCAGTCCTGCTGTTGTTAACGATATTGCCCTGGTGCAGCTTGCTGAAGAAGTTTCTTTTACAAAGTACGTTCGTAGGATTTGTCTTCCTGAAGCCCAAATGGAGCTTCCAGAAAATGCCAGCGTTGTAGTTACGGGATGGGGAGTCCTTTATATGAATGGTAAGATTTTTTTATAAAAACATTATAGCTTCATGGGAATAATTATTTAATTAATTAATCAATCAATCATCCCCTCATGTGATTAATCAATCCGTAAATATACTGAAAAGAAAACTAAGTGGAGGCACAAAAAGCATGGCATCACATTGTTGCTACTTTCTAACCTATCTCTGGGAATGGAAATTGAAAAAAATTGGAATTATTTGTTCGGTAGTAAACTGTAACAAATATCTGGAATAGATTAACTAGCCTGGGACTAGCCCAGCTGTTGATGACTAAATAAATCTGCTTTATGCATATTCTTGACCCTTCAAACAAGGCCAAGGTCCCCATAATATGCAGAATTTATTGCCTTTAGGTCCCCATCCTGTGGTACTCCAAGAAGCCTTTTTGAAGATTATTGACAACGAAAATTGCAATGCCCCACATGCGTTGTCTAATTTGGTGACTGATGAAATGCTCTGTGCTGGGTTTATGTCAGGAGAAGCTGATGCTTGCCAGGTATGTCTAGCTACGTTATCAAATCATTTCCTCCCAAAGACCCAACCAAATAGAAGTTGTTATCAACATATTTTTGTTGTTGTTGTTGTTATTGATTTTCACCTTGTAGCTTCTTATTTCAATTCGCTAAAAAAATGTATTAATCCCATTTATGTACTAGACATCAGCCTACACACTGGGCATGCAATGGTGAACATAATCCTGCCCTCAGGAAGTTATTAGTCTAGGAATCCATACAAGAAATAATACTGAGAAATTTGTAAGATAATATTGGTCCTATTTTCTGGGCAACCTGCAGACCTAGAATGCTGCCTCCTCCTTAACCAGAGATGCAGAGAGAGGCTGGGCGTGTCCTGTGTGACTCATGCCTCAGAGACTTCGTCATGGAGACTTAATTAATTAAGCTCAGTGCAGTATCTAGAGCAGCCAAGTGACCCTCTCCATAGTCAAGGCTGGTCTCATTATAAAGTCAAATGCTCATCTTCCCAATCCAACATTTGGCAGCTGTGGCAATGTATTTCAGATTGTAACTGCCCTGGGCTTTGAAAAAACCTAAGGGTGTTAGAGTTCCAAGTCAAAACATGGCAGGTTGATTTCAGTGCCCAGGAAGTATTGATAACTCCAAAAGAGGTACAAGAATTTTGACAAGAAACATGTTTTTCCTTCTACTTTTAGAATGATTCTGGAGGACCACTAGCTTATCCTGATTCCAGAAATATCTGGCACCTTGTTGGAATAGTAAGCTGGGGTGATGGATGTGGTAAAAAGAATAAGCCAGGTGTCTATACTCGAGTGACTTCTTATCGCGATTGGATCACTTCTAAGACTGGACTCTGAAAGCAAAGTAATTATAGAAGAAAATGTAAATACAGTTGCGGGGTAGTCTTATCTGTTGATTCAGGATCTTTTTCTTTCGATTGTTGGTAAACCAATTATTTTCTTATATACCAAAATATAAATGTCTGTATCTATATTATATCTAAAACACTCTCCATTTTTTTTAGCCAATATAGGAGATAGGAAGAAAAGAAATAAAGAAGGCCATCGTATAATTTTTATTAATAGCCCAGTTATGATTTATTTTACCATTTATATTTAGAATGCACCTTAATTTGTTTTTCAGAATTAGAAGAAAATAAAATACACATTTGTTAGTATAAGAACATAAATGCAGGATTTACCAAATATATATTTTTTTGTTATATCAATTATAATTGCATTTTGTTAAGCTTGAATATGTAAGACAAATAGTGTACATTTTTTATTTACATGTGAGATAATTTGTGTATCTGAGAAAATCATACAATCTTGAAGTGGGTAAGGGATACCAGAAGTTCAGCTAGACCAGGTCTGTCACTTTATAGATCAAGAAACTAAAGACCAGAAAAGAGAATTTATTTGCTTAACGTTATTCTTCATCATCCCTGATAAATTGATGAATTTATCCTCCTACAAATTTACCTTTGTTGAGTTTAGATCCAAAATTTGTTAGGAATTAAAGAATGATTTTTAAGTTACAATTATTTATGTAACATTTTTTCATGTCCTTCTTTTGTCATTTGTTTTGTTTGTAACAAAAATTATATGAGGTCCTCAGGGCAGGGGGCCGTGTGTTGTCTATTTCAGTAGTTCTCTTTATAGTAAAAGTATGATCATATAGAAGGCTGAATTTGTAACCTCTACAAATAATTTACCTTTGGTAATTTCCTAAAATTAATGAAAGTAGCACAAAATTTTAAAGGCAGCTACAATAAACTTAAAAAATATTCCTTCTTTCAGTTGTGTCTGGAGGTACTCTTTTATTCTTTCTTTGTTATAAAGTATGACTCAAATGACATGCAGAATGAAATCAAGCCAATCCACAACCAAGATGGTGTCTCTCTGTCCCTACTTCTTCCTTCTACATATTTATTGAGCTCCTAGTGTGTTTCAAGAACTGTCAGCTATAGACATAGTACCTTCCTTCGAGGATGCTACATGTAGTGGATAAAGACAGGAAACACACAGATAAGATAATTTTGGATTGTGATAAATGTTATCAGGAAATAAAAAGTAATGCGTTGGAAAATAACGAGACACATAAAGCGTACATTAGATTGCACAGTCTGAATAACTTCTCTGAGAGGTAGCACTTGGAGCTGTACCTAAATGATAAAAAGCAAAACATACAAAACATCTATGAGAAGAGAAATTCAAAGGGAACAAAGGTAAGATCTAGCAAGAGAAATAAATGAAGTGGATGTGTGGGGCAGGAAGAAGGCCAGTGTGATGGATGCCTGGTGAGTAAGTGAGAGATGGTAGGAGAGAATATGGAAGAGATAATCAGGGGACAAGTCAAGTAGGGCTTTGTAAGCCATAGTATAGACGTTGGATTTTCATTCTAACTGCAGTGGGAGGCCCTGGAGTTTGTGAAGCAAAGGAGGGAGTGAGATGATCTTATATATACTTTGAAAAGATTATTTAAGCTTTGGTGAAGAGAATGGGCTAGAGTAGGGAGTGAACACAACGAGAAGCAGGGAGAGAGAGGGCAAAAACCTACTGCAGAGGAGAAGTATCAAGATGGCCTCCTAGACACAGGTCGTAAGTGCCTTCTTCACAGAGATGAAGAACAATAGTAAGTAGATATTCACATTTTGGACAGATCGTCCAGGAGAGAATGCTAGGATTAACCAGAGAAGTGATAGGAAGCCCCAGCAGTAAGTAAAGAGAGGGTTCTGGCCGGGCGCGGTGGCTCATGCCTGTCATCCTAGCACTCTGGGAGGCCGAGGAGGGCGGATTGCTCGAGGTCAGGAGTTCGAAACCAGCCTGAGCAAGAGTGAGACCCTGTCTTTAGTATAACTAGAAAGAAATTAATTGGACAACTAATATATATAGAAAAAATTAGCCGGGCATGGTGGTGCATGCCTGTAGTCCCAGCTACTCGGGAGGCTGAGGCAGGAGGATTGCTTGAGCCCAGGAGTTTGAGGTTGCTGTGAGCTAGGCTGACACCATGGCACTCACACTAACCTGAGCAACAAAGGGAGACTCTGTCTCAAAAAAAAAAAAAAGAACTCACTCATTACCACAAGGAGGGCACCAAGCCAGTCATGAGGGCTCTACCGCCACTACCCAAACACCTCCCACCAGGCTCCATATCCAACACTGGGGATCAAATTTCAACATCAGATTTGAAGGAGCCAAACATCCAAACCATATCAACCACATTGAGGTATTATCTTACACCAATCAGAATGGCTATTATTAAAAAGACAAAAAAATACCGGATGTTGGTGAGGATGCAGAGAAAAGGGAACCCTTATACTCTGTGGATGGCAATTTAGGTTAGTGTAACTTCTATGGAAAGCAGTACGGAGATTTCTCAAAGAACTAAAAATAGAACTACTCTATGATCCACCAATCCCACCACTGGGTATATACCCAAAGGAAAATAAATCATTATATAAAAACGATACCTGCACCGTTCACAACAGTAAAGATACGGAATCAACCTAAGAGTACATCAATGGATGATTGGATAAAGAAAATGTGGTATATATGAGATCTGTCTGGAAAGTGTTCAGTCATTGTTAATATAACAAGAACGATTCGTGTGACATCAATATAACCTGGCAGCCCAGGAGAGCGGACTGGAATGTGCATGAGTGAACAATGACGACGTCACTGTACTAGTCAGGGGGTGCTAGATGCCATTGAGTGAGCACGCGTACCGTGTGGCAGTTGTCTTCATAATGACTGAGTGAATAGAGCAACAAATCTGCATCAAATCTTGCATTAAGCTTGAACACTCCTCCATGGAGACTATTTGTATGATTCAGAAGGCTTTTGGCGATGATGCAATGAGGGCAGCACAAATAAAAGTGTGGTACAAACGCTTCAAAGATGGTTGAGAATCTGTGGAAAGTGATCCATGTTCTGGAAAGCTTTCAACAAGCAGAACACCTGAGAATGTTGAATGTGTATGGGCTGCATTTTATTGGCATTTATGGTCTTGAGTTTATTTACACTTATTGTATCTTTATGATGGGTCTATTATGTAACAGAGCACTACTGTTCATCCCTTCCCAAATCCATATTTATTGATGACATGTGGGTGAAATTGGCCATGGCGTATTTACACTATGGAAATTGGCAGATGCTACAAATTAGCTCCCACCCACTGGCCCTATGACCTGAATGTGAAACACTTACCAGCACACCACTGAATGTAATTATTTTCATTTATGCTCTTAAAAGTAATCTTCCCTAGATGATGCAACTGGAGCACAATTTTTATCCCCTAACGTTACAAACTAGCTTTTGGTTATTGTGCCAGATATGTTGTCAAATGCCCTAAATAATGCCTGTGAGGGACTGTAGCAAATAAAGTTTGTTACTGGTTTTCATTTTTCATAGTTCTAATATAAGAGGAAGTTTCACAATAATCTGCTTTTGAAACATTTCACAGTGATATGTCAAGGACATTTCAGATTTTCAGTTTATAGTGATTAAAGGATTCTAGAAAAAAAACACAATTATATGTTATTAGAACATGTTGTTATTCTACACAATTATTATGCTTGTTTATGACAACAAAATAATTCCATCATACTTTCTTACTGCCTTAAAATTAAATTATCTTCATTTAAAATTTATCACAGTAGGCATTCATGGTTGAATAAACAAAACTTTATTTTCACTAAATATAGTAATAGGAACATATACAAGAATTCCATTAAATAACTATCTCAGGTTTTATAAGCCTGGGTTTATGCTTTTTAAGTCAGATTATCTCATCTACCAAAGACAGTGAGACAGAAATCACTAACGAAGGGAGATCGTCCCCACATTATCCTTCCTAGTTTTTTGATGAAAGAGAAAGGATTAAGAAAAATCAAACCAAACTATGAGCAGAGCAGTAAACTTAAAAGCCAGACATTCTAAATTAACCTGGCTTCCTTTTAAAGAGCCAGACATTCTAAATTAACCTGGCTTCCTTTTAAAGAAAATGCTGCTTGTCACCTGAATTGTTGATCCTTCCACCTGTCCCTAATGTACTATAATGACATTGTTCAGAGGACAAGCATCTCGGTAATCACGGAGAATTAGTCTGGGAGCACCCCTCTCTGCTGTGTAAAATCCTACTCCACCCCTCGCTTCTCATCTTGATAACCTTACAGAACTAAGCCTAAAATCCTTCTTATGACTTCCAAATCCATCAAAAGCTTGACTCATTCTTCCTTCTCATTATTCAAAACATAGTTCAGGAGTCGCCTCCTACCAGGTAGCCTTTCCTGACATCTCCAGACTGGTGCTCTAGATTGTTCCAGGTCTTTTCCACAGATGTAAAAATTATCTGTTTATACATCTGGATCTTCTAACAGACCATGAGCTTCCCAAGGGCTCCCTTTCATCTCTGTGTTCCTGGACTTGTGGCTGGATCGATGGAGGTAGTCATTGTGTCCAACTGAATAAAAATGAAACGCACCATCATAATCTGGCTGCTACATATGTTTCCGTATTATGTCCCATCATGCCCTTGTGTTTCCGTGTTATGTCCCATCATGCCCTTGCCTGTAACCCATGTTCCAATCATTTTATTACTCAAGATTTCTAAAACATGCTATTCTGGACTTTTCTAAATGGTGTACTCCTTGTCTGAAATACTCTTCTCTGACATTTTTTTTTCCTGATAAACTCCTAACATGCTTTAAAAATTAGCTCATACTTTTATGTGATTTTTTTATCCACTGTATTTTTAAAGATTTTGTGCTTATTGTCCTCAAGACACCATCTCATCCTGAAAAGTTCTACAAAGCCAACAAATATAGTTCATTTTGGGTGAATATTAATTTGGCCCTAACTCCCCAAGAACCTATATTTTATTGCCAATTCTTCCTTTTTTTCTCTACTCCGATCTACATAGAGGATAAGCTTTTACTTTAATTCAACAAGTATTTTTAAAAATTTTTAAATAATTAAAAAAATTTTTTTTTAAATAATTAAAAATTTTTTTTGCATAAAAAATGTATGAACACATTATCCTTGTGAAGAAAATGAATCCATTATAGATCAGGCTAAAGTTTCTTTAATAATTTCCAATTCTGGACTGTTTCTTTCTCTGGGGTAATCCTTATTTTTTTTTTTTATTTCAGCTTATTACAGGGTTTCAAATGTTTAGGTTACATATATTGCCTTTGTCCCACCTAAGTCAGAGCTACAAGCATGTCCATCCCCCAGACGGTACGCACTGCACCCATTACGTGTGAATATACCCGTCCTCTCCATCCCTCCCACCTGTCCAACATCCGTAACTCCTACCTCTTACAAAACTCAACTCATGATGGTAATCCTTATGTTTTCAATGCTTTCAGATCATTTTGTATATTCATTTACATTTTCATAAATAAATCCATGAAGTTAAATACATATATTAACACCCATTAAAATGTGCAGTATTATTTACTGTTTCTTTTCAGTTTTAATGGCATCATACTGAGTTACCATTCTGCATCTCACATTCCACTCAATAATTTTTCTTGAAGTCTTTCTATTAATATATAGATCTACAAGTATCAGTCAGGGCTCAGAGCAGAACAGCTACGTTAAGCAGAAAGAAATCTGAAGTGCGAGATCATGTACTGCAAAAATTGTTGGGATGGGCTGGGGGTACAGGCTTTAGGTTTCGCCTCCAAGACGATTCGCACAACACTAGAGAACCATTGCCCAGGGGAGCTACTGAGACAGGTGTTGTGAACTCAATAGCTAAAATGCAGGGATTACAAAGCCACCAACACCAATGACATGACCACGACAGCCTCCTAACACTCACAAGCTGATCTGGTCTCTGCCTACCCTAAAATTGTTTCTCAACCCCAGGAAGCTTGAGGATAAACACTGGATTGCTACTGCAGAAAACATCACATGTCCACGACCTTTTGCTATAGAATCCAAAAGCAGCCTCACTTCTGCCTTGGAAGGCCTCTGACTTGATAAATGTGTCAACCCACTATATATATTAGAATCTCATTCCTTTTAACACCTGCATAACATTCCATAAATCAATATACCATAGTTCCTTTAACCATGCTCCTACTGATTAATAATTTGTTTTCATTTTTTGAAAGTGTTAATTTTGTGATAAACATGATCATATATTCCTGTTTGAGTCGGGACAGACACCTAGAAGTGAAACTGCTTGGTTACAGGATATATAGTTTTAAAATTAAGAAGATGCTATCAAGCAGCTCTCTGAAGTTGTTAACCTCAATTCAAACTTCTATCATTAATGTCTGAGAGCCCATTTTCCCACACTCTTACCAAATCTTGAAATAGTATTTTCAATTTAGTAGTACCACCTTATTGTTTTCATTTATATTTCTATAAATACTAATGGAAGAGATTAAGCACCTCCTTATATACTAATGGCCATCTTTTATAAATACTCTGTTAAAACCATGTATATACTTCATAAAGAGTTTTAAAAATATTTCATTCATTTCTAAGAGATCTACATATATTTTAGATGTTAATCGTATATTTGAAACATATAACTTATCTACTGACTATTTACGAGATACCCAACACTGTGATGATCATATAAAAAACCAGAGAAATATAAAATACAGTTCTTGCCTACAAGTTTAAGCAGCTTGTACTTGGGGTGATAAGACCACCCACGGTATAGATCCAAATAAAAATCAACCCAACAGCAGATGACTAAATCCAAAATGAATATTGATAACAGGAAATGATTAGAGACCAGAACAAAAGAGCTCAAAGAGGATGATGCTTTATAGCGAAGGCTCAGTGAAAGAACTGGCAATTAGGTTCAACCATGAAGCATGAATAAACAGCGGATGATGGGTAGAAATGGCAATCTTGGCAGTATTAGTATAAATAAAGTCATGGTGGTAGGAAGGCACTGGCCATTCGAGAAAGCAGATGGTGAGAAATGTCTGGAGTGAAACCAAGCTTTAGGTAAAGTCATTGTTAAGAGGCCGCATGTCCTGGGCATGGTGCCAAGCACGTGGCATACGTGGTCTCAGTTGATACCATAAGTTTACAAGTATCGTCCTGCTAGAGAAAGCCGAAGCTCAGAGAGATTCGTGTCCAAAAGCTACTTATCAGTGGCCCTGGCGTTGGAAGGGAGCTCATGGCCTTTCTGTTGCACTTGTACCACTATGGAATAACGTGGATAAAGACAGATGGTGTTTGAAGTGCATAGAAAAGCAACCAAACAAATATGTATTTTATCCTGAAAGCAGGTGAGAGATTTAAAGATTTTTAAATAGAGAAATCTCATAAATATGTATTTTAGGAGAAAGAATCACACAAATCGGTATCATTATTCAGACTCTGCTGGAAGCCCCTTCTTCAGAAAGGGCCGTTCCTGGTCACCTACAGATAGATAGCCACCCCTACCCTACCCGCCACTCTCTGCCCATTCGCACTGCTTTGTTGTCTTTATGGCATGTATAAATAACTTACATTAAACTATGTATTTACTATTTTGTTAGTGTTTGTCTGTCTTTCCCATTAGAGTGTATGGTCCATGAAGGCAGAGACTTTATTATTATTATAGCCACTGTCATATTCCCACCACTGGGAATAATGTGTAGATCCAGAAAGTACATGACAAATATTTATTCAATGAATGAATGAGAGTAAGCATGCTGGAACTATTTCTTACTCTAAAACCTGCCTCCAGTTGTAAATCCATTCCTACGAAAGTAATGTACCGAGTCCCGGTGAGAATTTCTAGATGAAGCGTGTTTCAGATGAGTAATGTTATAGCAGAATGATTTTGTCAAAAAAGACAACTTAAATATTGCTCCAGCAGAGACAGCTGGTTTCTCTGGGGAGGAGCTGTATGCCATGAAGGGG